GCCAAGAAGTCTTCTTTCTAGCTAGACCTAATCCAGCAGAATTGCATTTGGAAAGGCTATGTGGGCAGCAACTGGGTTGGTTCCCCTCTAAAAGTGTTACCTGCTGGGTAAACAAAGGAGGAGGGAAACAAAAAGTGGCAGGAGATTTGGAGACAATCCCCTGTAAGGCTCGGCAATGGGAAAGTAATTATCTAAGAATTCTTGTCATGTCATGACCCAAGGGCCTTGGTGTCTGTCTCAGTATACTTGGGTGCTGCTAATGACCAATCTACTAATCTGTTTTCTTCTAAAATAGGATATAATTCTAGTTATGTGGTTCCATAACAATTCCTGAAATTACAAACGAAAAAATGGACTATATGTACATGTTTTCCCCCTTCATTGATGTATTTGTTTATATTACTTAGCAGTTGAATCTTAGACTCACCTCTCTATTTTGTGAACATCTATCTCAGCGATGGCTAACTTTTTTGTTGTCGTGTGCCAAAAGTGTGTGCGACAGCGCACCCGCGTCCCAGTGCCAATAATGCAATGCATGCATGACACCCCCACGTGCATGTGCGCATGACCCCCATGTGTCCCTCCCCACACTTGAATGTGCGACCCCACAAGTGCACACCCAACCCCTGCAAATGTACATGTGACCGCTGTACTCCCTTGCTGTCCCACGCATGTGCCCCCACCTCCTCTTGCCCATTTTTTGCTTCCAGGTTGGTGCAGGTTTTTCAGGTCCAAAATGGGGCATAGGGGCACCATGTGAGGCCCCAAAATGCAATGTGAGCACCCCCATGCATGCACCCCGCACATGCACGGCAGAGACCCGAAGACCAGCTGCCCAACAGGAGACACGGGCACATGCCTGGTAATACTGGGCTGGGGTGATGACTGGCGTGCCCGCAAAGAATGCTCTGCATGCCACCTGTGGCACACACATGCCATAGGTTCACCATCATGGATCTATCTTCAAGCACTAGCAAGACTATTAAAAAATATGAGTTGCAACACTGCACATATTTGCAGGAATTAGCTAGAAATGAGGAAGGAGGGCACTATATGATTCTTATTTCTTTTGTCTTGTCTTTCGCTACATTGATTAGGGTTTTGAGCCCTTCAGAAAAGCAAATTTAATATGTCTGTCATTGCTGACCCATAGCAATTAATAACAAAACAGAATTGTCTGTAAAATTGTAGAAAGTTTTTGAGAGTAGAAATAATTGTTCCGTTACCAATTTATTTATGTAGTTATTTCTCAGATGCCCAAACCTGTTGAACCTCTTGATTCCCAGTTCTTCAGAACGTAATTTGCACTTCTTGAATCCAATTGCAAACTTCAATCGTACATTGAGGCTTTCTATTTAAATAGCCTGTCAGTTAAATCTGGCCAATTGATCCAGGAGCCGATTTGCAGCCTTCTTCAGTCTTCATGTTTAACAGTGTACAAACTTGTTAACATCAAATCCATTGAAGATAGTCAAGTGGCAAGCTATGTGTTGATCTCTTGTTTACAGCTGGGTAACATCTCCCAAAGCATCCTTCCAAAGGGAGAGATTTCTCAACTATATTATCATCCCGTGAACCTGTCTCAGAACGGAAAAGGTTCCTCCTTTGCAAGAACATGTTTGAACATGGAAAGATGAGGAGCTGTAGCTTACAACACACTAAAAAAGTGAAGGTGTTAATTTTAATGCCCCACCTAAAACAACATTCTTGCTGGAATTCTTGCAACCAATTCTTGGCAGGATTGGGAAGAGGCCTTTCCTTCGTGTTAAAACGCAATCTCATAGAATCTCCTATTTAAAAAAGAGGAGGCCACTAGACTGAGAACAAAAACAGGTTTTATAGTAGCTCCAAAAGCATAGGTTTAAAAAGAAGCTAAGGCCTATTGCTTACTTGCAATTTAATGATGCTAAGCAGGTTGAACTGGTGAGATCATTTATATTAACTGAGTTATAAATGTGATATATCTTGAATTTCACATAACTGAATATTATGTTTTTAAAATACTGAATGTTTGCAGAAATCTAGAAAGATATCTGTTATTTAAGTAATGATGAAACTGAAATCTTTAAACATCATATTGAGAATCATTTTAGCATGAATAAATTTCCAAGTAGTAAATAAAAATATCTGCTAATAAAAGAGAATATTTGTAGCCCAGGGTTGACATGAGGGGTCCTTGGTGCTCTCTGAGCTTGGCTGTTTTCTTGCAGACATTTCATTACCCAAACTAGGTAACATCCTCAGTGCTAGTCAGGACTGGCACTGAGGATGTTATCTAGTTTGGGTAATGAAACATTTGCAAGAAAACAGCCAAGTTCAGAGAGCACTAAGGACTCCTCAGAAATACCTGCTTTTTATCCAAGCATGTGACCAATTACTTGTGGGATAGTGTGAAGTGGGCTCTAACTGATGCTGTTTCCTTGCACAGGGAGCAGAAGACATCTGTTTAACGATTGTAGGAAATTTGATCACCCCTGGTACAAAGCTGGGCCTGGCCCTTCAGCAAAACGATGAAAAGCAAAACTGGAGTTTTAATTCTGATGGCAAGATTTACAGCAAAATGAAACAAAATTTAGTATTAGATATTAAAGGTAAGACATTTTTAGTGCTAAGTGATGAACTCTGGTTAATGAAAACTAATTTTCATATGCTAAATAGTAAAAATAAGTTTCTCGTATTAGCTCATGTAACAAGTATGATAAAGCTCCATTTATCATCTGGTGTTCAAATAATAACAAGAGTAATAATAATTCCATCACCTTGAATTATTATTTTTTTAGTTTTATTGATTTGTATGCCGCCCACTCCTGAAGGACTCCATTATTTATGAATAATGAATTAGCATGATAATATGAATTATTATTAAACTACAAACGAGTATTTTTTTTAAAATCAGCAATTACAAAAACAAAAATAAAACCATAATGAGCTCAAAGGAAAAAACACGCCCGGTGCTTGACTAAAGGGAAGTGTTGAATTAGTATTTTTTGAAATCCAAGAGAATGTTCTAAAATAAAGGGCATTGCTTTTTGTTGATTTTCTGACTTGATTGTACACAAGACTTTTTCTTTTAAAATTGCAATGAAGAAGCAGTTTGTAAAGGGGCAGCTTTTGAACCCTTATACCAGTGGTGGGATTCAGCCAGTTTGCACCTATTCGGGAGAACCAGCTTTTAACTTTCTAAGCAGTTTGGAGAACCAGTTGTTGGAAGAAATCTTTTGTTTTTTTCTACTTTACAGGGCTAATCCTGTAGAGAAGGCAGGAAGAAAC